GACACCAGCTGCTGTAAGGCTACACTGGGTCTTGTGAGGCGCAAAGATCAGCTACTTGATCTTTAAAATGTATGCTACAGTGCCCGAGTCTTCAGTCATCTCTAGTGCATAACCATGAATTCACCAGATACCTGCTGCTTAAAACCAGCTTCTGCTTCCTTTTTTTCCCCTCACAAGTGACAAGCTGCAGAAATCAAAATGGGTGCTTCCAAATCAGTCGTTAGAAAACCCAACTGGCTGCAAATGCTTCAATGTATAAATAACTACTTATGAATATTTTCACTTCTAGATTATTAAATGTTACCCAAATCTCACACACTTCCTCTATCAGGACATGAATAATATGTGTAGATGAACATCTTTTGCACACCTGATGACTGACAAAATCCTGCACCAGCAGAGAGCATTAAATTTTCAGTCACTGGCATAATTTTCTGCTCATCGCTGCTTCCATCACCCGTTGAATTCTGCTCATCATTTTCTTCCTTATCAGATGAGGAAGAGGAAGTGACAACCACCTTCTTTTTTGCTGCTTTCTTCTTTAAGTTACTCTTTTTACTTTCTTTCATTGACCCTCTTTTCATCTTTTTCTTAGTGTCTTCATAAGACTCCTCATCAGAAGAGGACGAGTCATCCCGTTCTTTCTTGGAAAGTTTCTTTTTGTGACTCATTTTTTTCTTTTCTTTAGTTTCCCTTTGTTTTTTACTCTGCACAGCATCTTCAGAAGAACTCTCCTCTTTCAGGGGAGATTTCTCAGCATCGGAGGATAAATCAATCTGTACTTTTTTAGATACCCTCTCTCTTAAATTCTTCCTCCTCTTTTCTCTAAACACTCGTTCCTTTTTAGTTTTGTCATTTTCAGAAGAATTGCTACTTCCTTTCTCCGGAGATGATTTTTCAACATCAGAAGAGGAATCATCTTGTTCTTTCTTGTAACTCTTCTTTTTCAATTTTTCAGATTTCTTCACTTTGCTTTCTGATCCTTTTCTATTCCTCAATCTGGTTTTTGGAGAATCCAAATTGTGCTCTTTCTTTACAGGTTTCTCAGTACTCTCTGAAGAAGAATCCTCCTGGGCCTTTTTCTTCTCCAAATCCTTGTTCTTCTTAACTTCAGCCAGCTTTCCACCTTTAGGACAACTCTCCTCTTTCTCTGGTAAAGACTTCTCAACATCAGAAGACTCATCGTGTTTTCCCTTTGCAGTTTTATCTTTTAAGTCCTTGTTAATCCTTTCCTTAGCAGCTGACCCCTTACCAGTTTTTTTCTCTGTAGAAGAATGATTCATCTTCTTCTCTGCAGAAGACTTTTCAGCAGCATCATCTTCAGAAGACTTCTCTCTCTGTTTCTTCAAATTTGCCTTTCTCTTACTGCTTACTTTTTTCCTCTGCTCTTCTTCAGAGGAATCATAACTATCGTCTTTTTGTAAGCATTTTTTCTTCGCTTTTTTTGCAGACTCAATTTTACTCAAATTTTTTATTTCTTTTTCTAATTCAGAATCATAGTTTGAAGAATCTGAATAGTTTTGTCGTTTCTTTTTAGCAGCAGCGGAATTTTCAGCTGATTTGTCTCTTTTAGCATCTAAATCTGAACCAGAACTGGAACTTTTTCTTTTTCGCTTTCCGTTTTCATCCTTTACCGGTTGATCCTTTACAAAATTTGAATTCTGCTGATCGTTCGTCAGTGCTTCACTATTGCTGTCAACATCTGAAGAACTGTGACTCATCATAGCTACTTCTTTAAGAACAGCTGGCATCTCATCAGAATCAGAGCTATGATCTAATGCATATGGCTTTTTTGATTTAGAAAGTTTATTAGGGCTAGGACCATCAACAGTACTGTCAGAGGAATTTCTTTTATCATTCTTCCTCCTTGGTTGTTCCGATGACTTTCTCTTATGTTTTTCATTACACGTGCCATTGCTCTCTTCTTCCGAATCCGACATTAAGGGACTGACATCTGTTTGGCGCCGCAGAGGCGTGGTCTTCACACGCGGTGATCTCCTGAGATCAGATTCCTCTGCAGGCGAGACGGTTTCATTCTCAGTGGAAGCTTCACTGCCAGCACTATGGTTCTGTTTTACAGAACCACAGTTTTCTGCTCTAGGTACTACATCAACATCCTTACTCCCCTTTTCAAGATTGCTGTTGCGATCTTCAGCTTTAACTGTGGACTCCGAAAGGGAAACAGGAGTCAATTTTACAATCAGTTCTTTCGTTCCTTTAGCCGATGATTTTAACTTGGTACCACTTTTGGTATCTTTCACAGGAGCATTCGATTTTGTATTTGGAGTCTCATTATCTGCTCCTGTATTTCCATTGTCTTGCTCATCGGATGCAGCCTGGATCTCCATGGCAGATTCTAGCGTCTCAAAAATATCTTCAGGAACAGATGAGGGAATGGACACTATATCCATATCCAGAGCCTCTGTACTATTAGGTTCATACTGCGGCTCGTCATTTTTGCCAGACTTTTTACCCTCCCCAGAAGCATGCTTGCTATCTGTTTGCTGCGTTGTTGGAACACTTTGATCCATGGGCTCACTGTCAGGCTGTTCTGATACAACCTTTTTTTCTGTCATTCCAGTGTCACCCTCTTTTAATGCCACAGAGTCCTTTCCGTCATCTTTTTTCACCTCATTTTTTTCTGATCTAACATCAGGTTTTTTCTCTTTGGTATTTTTATCTTTGATTTTAACATTCAAAGCTTGAATCTCCAGGTTCAGACCTTCTTCTAGTGCCAGATGAGCATTTTTCATGTCACTCAAGACAGATTTAAAAGCTTTTAGCTGACAAAGTTGCATGGTTGGGCTTATTTCTACATTTTCTGCAACTTTTTTCAAAAACCTTACAAAGCTAGCATTCAGATTTGCTGTAGTTTCTACGAGCTTTTTTGTTTTTTTAAGCAAGTCTTTTGGCACCATTAGTGCTTTATAAGAATACGTTAGTGACCCTGAATATGAATCATCCAGTTTTTTTTCTTCACCATTACAACTTGAATTATTTCTCTTTGGAGAAAACTTGGCTGTGTGGTCATATATTTTACTTTTTTCACTATCAACTCTGATCTTTTTTTTGTTTTGTTGCAGTAACTGTTCCAAATTTTCAAAGACACTGTCACACGCAGTGACCAAGTCCAATAAAGGCTCTGGATGGCAAATGTAGCAGTGCCACTGGTTATTTTCATCCAGTATAGTTGAGAGCTCCTTTCGACCCAGGTTGCGCAAAATGCACTTTTTACAGAAGGCGTTATGGCAAAAGTCACAGCAAATCAAATTTCCACCTTCAGCACACCACCTGAAATGAGACATAAGAAATGTAAGGGTCTTATCTCCATATCAACAAAGTGACACATTTGAGAACTTCACATATTTTTCACTATTTCATAAATAATTTGCATTTTAAAAATTCAGGTGATAAACAGATATCCATTCACTGAAAACACTATTAGACGCATGACTGAAAAGCACTCAGCTGGGAAGTGGCAAGCTGAAATGGTCAGTAATATCCAAACATAATTGCAGCATTCATTTTAAATCAGAGAAAAAAATAATTGCATTTTATTTTCCCTGTTTCTTCTGAGAGTTAGAAAAAAAAAGTTACTTTTATTCTACAGCAAAACAAAAATTAGCTCGTCTTTCTAGTCTTAACTGGTGTATTACTACTGCAGGCACATATGGGGAAAAAATAGTGGGGTTTGGTCTATGTCTAGACTGCAGTGTCTGTGATGAAGGCCTGAAGAGTGGCTGACAAGTAAGCTTCCAGGCACCACACATCACACAAATTTTACCGGATTACACATTTAGGTATCTGACACAGGGACAGAGAAGTACTTCAGTATTTCAGAAGTGGGAGACACACCTGCAAGAGTAAGTTTCTGTGGCTCACGAGGTTTAAAATGTCAGCCTCTATATCCACCTTTAAAACGTGTAAGGTGGCACGCTATTTAGTTAAAAATGTGATGTCTTACAAGTGCTTGCTGTTGGATTTCTTTATAAAAATGGGTTTCTGTTAATTACTAAAACAACAATCAAATAGTTACAAAAAACACGGGCTTCTGCATTTCTTGGTGAGAAACAACTGTTGATTAAGCTCTTATGTACTGGTCTTTATCTGACAATAATTTCATTATTGCAAGAAAACAAAACAAAACAGGAGCGCTGTGGGTGTTATTTCAGATTCTGTACACTCACCTGCACTGTTCATCCATTCCATCTGAATCACGGCTAATGTCATCGCTCATGTAATACTTGTAGCAAGTCTGTAAAGAAAGATATGACAAGGAATTTTTTAATTAAATCTTGACTGGACTTCAGTAATTCATACGATATCAGCACGTATTGCAATCAAGCCATTAAAAGCAGCAGCTGCAAGGTCTTCAGCATTCTAACCCCTTTACATTTGTGTTAATCTAAAAACCATCTTCCATAGATATAAAAGGTCCTAAATAACTAATTCTTATTTAGATGGCTCAAGGTTTATTTGAAAATTAATCAGGCTTTTCTTTGATGGCTGTGCATTTGCATATTTTAAACTGAGCGTTTCTCTTCAAATCTGTAAGCTTTTTTCCATCTATTTCCTACGTAAATCAACACCACAACTTTCCCGACACAATTAATTCTACATAAATTACAATTTTCAGCTGTGTGCTCCTTATGTTAGTAATCTATCCCATAAGGCTTTAAATAAAAACGTCTTCAGTACTTATCCTGATATTATCCAAGGCTTCAATTTCCAGGTGTAAACTAAGCATTTTCATTGAAAAAACTGTAATAGTAAGAAAAAAATGACACACAACTCAGCCAGTGGTAGCAGTGACTTCAGTTGCTGAATTCTTTAAACCAAATTTTGAACGTGTGTGGTTTTTTCCCCAGTTGCTAGTAAAGAAGGTTCTCCCAGACTCGAAGCTCTACTTTGAGCAGGGATTAATACAAGCTATTGGCTAAATTCTGTCCTTTTACCTAGTGAATCAGTGAATTCAGAATCCAGAAGAGGCTTCAACACCTGAATTTAAAATGATGATACCCCTCTAGCTGGAATATACGCCTGTTCAACTAAACAAAACAGACGACAACAGTAACCGAAAGAACAGTAAAAGCTGATGTTTAACACTTGACAGAACATTTATAGTCAAAGGAAAGCAGGTTATAAGGTCTGGTAGGACCTAAGCAGGAGAAAAATAAGGGAAGAAGTAGGTACAGACAGTAATGAAAGCCATGGAGTATGCAGGTCAGGGAGCTGCATCCCCAGCTCGCACATTAACACTAGGCCATGTTCAGTTTAGAAGATACAGAAAAATCAAGGGAAACAACACATGATAAAATTATCTAGAGCTCACAGTCAAGAGCTGCTATTGAACCCAACACCTCAAACAAGTTTCAAAAATGAACCAGATCACTTGCATGCATTGCAAGAACACGTACAGCTACGTGTTAACGATTTTCAAGTCTAGGAACGAGTTAGGACTCCAATGAAGACTGAAAACAGTCATCCTGTAAGCTGACTTTTCTGAAGCGAATTTTTTAAGAGAAACAAGCCAGAATGAACAGAAGCAATGAGCCACAACATCTGACTAGTTGGACATGCCTGAGAGAGTATGGCAGCTGAACACGAGAACTGGGGGAGAAGCAGAAGGAGGGAAGAGAAAGAGAATGCTAAATGTGCATTGTAACACAGATCTGTGTCTATCTTTAAGATACCTTTATAAATACAGAATATCTACACAAATACAGACATATCGCTGTTTCTCTCTGAAAATTAACCACAGTAAGGGGCAGGGGTGTTTCATTTCTCCCCCGTCCCATACCTCTTCCCATTGCAGGCAGCTTTGGGCCTAACTGAGCCACCATGAAACCACCCATGTAGCTGGTTTTGGGTCATGGACCAGACCGTTATCACAGAGGCTGCCATAAATTAAGCTGAGCTTAATTAATTAAGGAGCTGTACACAAATGAAACTGTGATGGCTTTGAAGCTACTTTTCAACCTCTTATTCCAATGTTGGTTTACATGCAGTGCAATGTTTTACCAGGAGCTCCAGAATTGAATCTGCTCTCATAACGCATTGTGAGTGGGCAGAAATTTCTAACAGATCATTTAACATAAAAAAACAACTAATATTACAGCCTTAATACTGTAAAAATAAATTACAAAGAAATCACAATGAGTTTAACTGGGGTATAAGAAAACAAGAATATCAATTTCTAAGCTGTATTTGCCTTTTTGTTCTCCGTTTTCAGTTTCATAATTGTAAGTTAAAGACTGAAAATTTATTGGCTAATAACCAAGAACTACTCCAACAAAAACCCCACCCAAATCAACTAATAGGACATTTCAAACAACAACCACCAGTACAAACTGTAGAACTGTTTACCACATACCTTACAGATAAGAACTTTCAGTGTAGGATGTCTGTAGATTGAATCCTTTTGAAAATGGTTGACCTGTTGCCCACAAGCTGTACAGTTTACAATTCCATGTAGGCCTTCTTCTATAGAGAGGATTAGAAACCATGCATTAATTGTTTTAATTTTTATTTTTTACGCTATCTGTATATACCCGTTTCATTTTCTTAAAATATTTTGGCCTGTTAGGTTTCTTTATATGTCTTTATTTCTTTACCAGCCAGAATTAGAGAAATCTTTCTGTAACCACTTGCCATTTGAAGACTGAAAGAATTTTCCTCTAATTTCTATACTCCACTTGAGGCCAAGATGCATTTTTTTTTCCTTTGAGAGATTTAACATGGATTAACTGGTCACCTTGTGAGAGCACACCTAAATAAGAGGCATCACTAAAACTCTTTCAAAGCAGCGCTGATATTGTGCACAACCTTCCTCATTTAATCTTTGTTCATAAAAGACCATTTTAATTCATCTTTGTATTACGGTATTTCACATACAGTCTTAGTTTCTCAACAAAAAATACTGGAAACCATTACAGAAGATGCATTAAATCCTTCTTAATAGTGCATGAAAAAGCTTCAGGTTTTTTTTTTAAATTATTTTTGTTCTCTTCTTAATGGTGGTGTTTGTTAGATTGGTTTTTTGTGAAACGACAACTTTACTATAACACATCCATGCTCACAATCTTGCTGATGGCTCCCACAGTTTGTGTACCACTTTGCTGCTGTATTTATGTTCAGTCAAGAAAGTGTTTCTTTAATGTCAGCCCCCCAATTCACTTTGAAACTTGGTGAACTTGGGCTTGGGAGGCTGTTCAACTGACTGATGAACACTGTGAGATCATTCTGTTTTCCACAGCAACGATGCTTTCAAGAAAAAGGAAAATAATTTGTGAAAGCCCATACACTTAGTTCATACACTTTCAGAAGTTTAAATTTGGTATCAAGTGGACAGAGGGTTGGTATGGGCTCACTTAGCTGTGACTTGTCCTTTCTGCCACGTTCAGCAAGGAGTGCAAGGAAATGAACTCAAATGTTAACTCAGTGCTTACGGTCTAAGTACAGACTACACATTTTTTTATTTCTTTTTTTTTAAACAAACACTACCACAGAATTAGAACCAAGCACCAACACCACAATGTTAAGGAGCTGAATGCATGTTCTCAAAACAAAATACAAGCTACTGGCAATTTGCTACTGAAGCACAATCTCAAATAGCTTACAGGCCAGTAAGAACAACTACTACACCCTTGCAACTCTGAAAATAGCAGGTCTGAAGTTTTGAATCCAAGACTTAAATTGAGCTTCAACGCATACAGAACTGCATGGACATGTCCACTGCTCGTGGACTTGCAAAGAACCTCTTATCACCTCAAAAACAGCTCAAATGTCTGTTTCAAACACTGCTGGTAAATCTCGAATAAACACCTCTGTGGTATCACACTACTTGGAAAAGCACATCACATTCTGTTACACCAAGCAGCACAGAGGCCTACCCAGGCTTTGGCAAACATCACAGCCCTCAAATGGGTGTAAGAACCACAGAGCGTAGCAGCCAGCTGAAGGACAACAAACTATTCACTGTCAACTCCCAATCCATTTCTTCCTCCTCTACAACTTGAAGGGGATGCACTTCAGCCTCCTTTCTAAAATCTGCAAGTTGGCACCAGAAAATAAAGAGGGTAATTTATGAGGCAAACCTCTGTAAACCATGTTACTACTACAAATGATAATAATCCAAAGAAATTAAACAACTACCAATTCCTTAATCCTGAGAAAATACTTACTTAAAAAACATTCCTAACTATGAGTTTATCAGCAGAAATACAACTGTAACCATTCTGTAGACACAAAACTTGAAGTTAAGGACTGACACGATGCCTTCTTACAGTCTTGGATGCTAAAAAGGCAAGAGTTCTATTCCTACTACTGTTTCTAACATACATGGGACATACCACTCCTAATAAAAACGCAAAGATGCACTACTCCCCAGACAAGACTCACTGGCATTTTAAAATTTATTATTATTTATATACTTGCACTGGGCATAGAATTCAGGATCTCAAGTAGCTGGGACTACACCCTTACCTACTTAAACCAGTAATTCTTAAATTCAAGTCAAAGATTATCAGTAGTGACACAGATACAGCTCAGCTTGCCCTGGATAAAGGTATGGCTCAAACAAACTCTTCGTGTTGCTTCCAAAATTATTATCTCATGTCAGGCACCAGTACGTAAGAAACCTGTCCAAAAAGACAAAGGAAGGTTTGCAAACTCTTTGGGAATGCACACGAATTGTCCTGGGGGTGCAGACACAGGCCACAAAGCTCAAGCACAAGAGTTTTATCTTTTCAACACTACAGCCCTGAAGGTTTACGTTGGACCTCTTATTAAATTGTTATAAACACAAATGGAAGAAGCATTCCTATATGCTGAATAGGAGACCTTGCACGAAGAGAACGGAAGTGACTTTTAAAGATTAATAATTTAGAGAAAAACTCAATGCTCAAAATGGGATTAAAACCACACATGAGCCCATACGTATGCACAAGCACATTTCCACAGAGTCACATTTACTCCTCTTCAACCACAGATGGAGAAATCGCACTTATTAAATTATAATAAGACTTTTTAAAAGAGAGCAAGTATGTCAAATGATACAGTGGGAAGAACGAATAGTGTGTACACGAGCTGTCCGAATATGCTGGGTACTGCTTGGTGTGTGAACTAAGATACTGCTAGTAGTATTAACAAAAATATCTGCCTTCTTATTGGCTACTTCATACATAATCCTTCCTCTCCTTAACTTTTCAGGAAAAAAAGGAGAGCTGAATTTGTGTTATCACTGTCATCTACCCAACTTCTCAGTTTTAGCAGTGGCTATGGAAAACCAGCTGGCACAGCAGCTTTTCAAAGCTAATCCTTAGAAGGGCCCACTGGTAGGAAATTTCCCACAATTAGAAACAAACCAAAAAAGTCACCAAATTCTTTGAAGTTTTTGGTTTCTTGTTAGCTCACTGACTGCTAATATACCTACGCATGTCCCTGCTCAAATATGGCTGCTTACACGGCGAGGCAGCGAATGGCCCTCTATCAATGGTGTTCCTAAATAATCCCTTAAAAAAGGAATACCTGTAACACCCGATGGCAACCAAGCAACTGTTCTGAATGCAAAGCAAGAAGGGTCCATATGGAGTACCCAAAGATGCATCCTATAGCTACTGAAAATAACAACTTTAATATTAGAGAACCGATCTTAGCTTTCACTGCCGCACTGCAGGGGCAGCAATGGAGGCTAAATTCAGGCACCTACAATCCTTAATGAACAAAAAGCCAGAAGAGTGGAGGTATTTTTAGGATAATTTATTAGAAATATGAACAATTTTTAGATGTACCAAATGTGGTCATAAGCAACAATTTTAACCCGTTTTAATAAGTGTTTTAAATTGTATTTACCTCCACGCTTTTTGGGAGCTTCAGGTTTCATTTTAACGGTATTTCTGCTTCTAAATTCAGGCCCTTTAAAATCATCTTTGTCTTCATTCAGCACTGGCTCAGGCTGTACAACCACTGTACCTAGAATAATTTTATTTAGAAATTGGAAACCATTACACATCCAAATGAAGTGCAAAAGTCCTGTTTAAATAAAAGCCAACATAGTACCTTAAAAAAAAAGTGCAATCTGTTGACTAAAACTCGAAGTTTTGAATGCACAGATGATCACAGGAAAAAAAAAAAATCAAACCAAACCAAACCCACCACACACCTGAAGCTATGTCTGTTTTGCAGCTGCAGGAGAAAGCCAAAGACTGAATGGGCTCCGAGGAGCAAATTCTGCTCTCTCTGCCCTGACGTGGTACGTGCAGAACAGGACTGCCATACTGCTGCGTGTGTGTAGCACAGGAATTTGCAGTGCACTTCGGTTAGGTCACTTAAATCTACCAAAAGCCTTATCGTAGCAACTCTTTTCCCCCTTCTGTCCAGTTTCCCTCATCTTAATTTATCTCAGCATGAAATAAATGAAAAACCAATAAAATAAAAACTGTTTTGTCTCTAACAAAATTCAGAAATTCACTTTTTTATTTAAAAAGAGAAGAGTACTACTTGGAATTATGTGAATGAAAAAACACCTTCCCTACTTAGCAGCTCACCCTTAATACTTTTGCTGTGAGAACACAATAATTTTGCTGTGAGGAAATAACCTAATGTTCTGAAAAAACACTTTTAAAGTGACTGCTATAAATACTGCTACTCATACAGTAAGAAGTAGCAGTGCCTCCAATTTTTCCTGTACGTTCATAGGGCAGATCCAATAATGACATTTCCCCCTCACATTTAGTTTTGCTTTTATTAATCTAATTGTTAATAACCTCAAAGACAGAACAGTACACTATGACTTGCAAGTGACAGTGTTTGAGATTTCTACAGAAGAAATAATTTACTTCCCTTGCTTCTTGTTGAATTTATACAGGCGTCAGTAGACATTTGAAATTAAGCCACCAACCCATCCTGGTGTACCAACACGACTAAATCATGCTGGGTTTAAAACTAAAAGTGCTCGGTTTCCTCTTTAAATGCGCGTATGGGGGTGTGTGTTTGTGCACTACCATGTTATGTTTATACATAAAGCCAACAGGACCTAAGACAGGCATTTTACTACCACATGTGCATTCTAGTTAATTATTTATGCTGCATCATAATCTTGGCTAATTTGCTGAATTCAGAAACAAAGAAAGATTTTAACTACCTTTAGGCAAGCTTTGCATATCAACATCGTTTTCTGAGTTTTCATTTGAAATATCTTCATTTACAGTTTCATCTAAGATTTGTTCATCATCTGATCCAACATATTTTGTTACAACTGTAGGTTTCCTGCATAGACAGAAAAAAACCCATACCATGACATATATTACTGAGCGCAATACAAGAAAGCCTGGCACTTTGCAAGCAAAACACCACATTGATTCAGGAAACCAACGTTCTTTTTAAATTCATTTAAGACATTATGAGGTGAGATGCTCTGAGTTACTGTAATGATTAAGTCATAGGGTAATGTTCTTGTGAGGAACAGGAATACTCCCCTTCTATGTGAAATAAAAAGATATACTAGTAAAAGTGTGGGGTTTTTTCCACAGGCTTGCTGTGGGTTTGGGTTTATTTGCAAAATCAAGGTTTGATGTGTCTTTAAGAACGTATGGAATGTAGGAAAGTCACCCTTCTAGGAAAGAAGCCTAAATGAAACACAAGTGAATGCTCAGAAATGTTACACATCATTCCAAGTGCAACAGGCAGCGCAAAGAGAACACTCAGATATTAGCAGACGGCAAAAAGCAGCTTGGCAGAAAAGAGGCTTGCAAGGAAATAAAGAAAACGCAGAAAGAAAAGAAAAAGCTGACTATTGGACCAGTTGCCAGAATTTCACACAAACATAATTTACAACTGAATCCATTAAAATGATTGAATTTACATCAGGGAAGGGAGGGAAAAAAAGAGAAAAACTATTGAGCATAACTTTCAGTCTGAAAGTAATACATGAACTACTGCAGGATACTGGTTTTGTGAGTATCGGGCACAGTATGATAAACGTCTGAGTGAAAATACCTTTAGTGACAGACAGGAAACAAAAAACCAATGCTGTAAAAATGTTACAAATAAAAAACAGCAGAACTCTGGATTCAGGAGATGAGGGAGAAATTAAAGCCAAATATAAAACCGCACTTACAAATATGGAATCAAGACAAACAGAAAAGGGAGAATGAAGAGTATTATTTAATTCCAGTGGACATGATAAAATAAACAAACTTGAATAAAAAGGAGAGTGAAAAGAGATATATACTTTTAAAGAGCAGTAAGAAGGCAGCTGTTGAAATTGTGCACTTAGAAGAGCTCACCTATCTATACAGTATAGTAGAATTTTTAAAAAATCATGAAGGACCTAACTTGAATGACCATCAAATGAGAGCAAAAAATGAGAAGTTTTACTACAGTAAGTCTGCTGCTACTTAGGTCACAAATAATTTGTCTCCTGTAGGCTCAAACTAGTTGGTAAACAGTTAACGCTGCACTTTTTTTAAATCAAAGAGCAAAAAAGGATTAAGCAGATATACAACAAATGGCAGTTTCTGCCCACGACAACTTAATAGCACAGTTTGATGCTGCAGTCTCCCAACAGTAACGTACAGAAACTCTTTCTTCCATATGACCCAAGTTACATTTTTTGAAGAATCCTGGATGTAGAAATAGCAAGAGTGAAGGAATAATTCTATGAACACCTTTGTGCTGAAGATACAGGATAATCTTGTTGTCTGTGTTAATAAAAACCAAGCTTTATGATCTTAACCTTTGCTCCTGAAAGACGGTTTAAATTTTAAGTGCACTATTCGTTTTACCAGCACTCTGCTAACTTTATGGATTGATACTGGTGCGTACTAAAAGTATGTCGCATAGTGCATGGATGTTTCTATAGTGTCACATGCCCAAAAGTAATGTAGATATTTTTGTTTTCCAAACCAACCTTTTTGACCGTGATGATCCCAAGGATTTGTTTTTCTCTGAAGAACTACTGCCCTAAAAACAAGAAAAAAAAATATCAAGTCAAGACACCTGTGGGCAAGTGACCTGTCAACATAAACAGTTTCTAACATTAACTAGAACACATCTCAGGAGAAGCATTAACAAAACGTGCCAAACAATTTCAGTAGTCACGCCTGTTCAGTTAAACCAAAGCTATGGAGTTTCAGATCAGTAGTAAGACTCCAAGAAGTCATCGTTCATTTAAAAACAGTTTTAAAAATTGGTGTCTATTTTAAAATGTAATTCTAAATTTATTTTAAAATACTTTACAGCTAATGTTTCTACTCAGCAGATACTATGACGTTTACTGTATGGTCCTTACAATATTCTTCAAGTACTTACTGTATAAGGAACAAAGTGAACTCAGCAATTCCTGTACTAGCTCTGCGATAGTCATGCAACTAAAATTCAAAAGCATTTTCATTCCTACCTCTTCTCTACTGTTCTCCATTGAAGCTGGACTACTTTTAGGTTCTCTACTTTTACCTATGGAGAGAAATTAAAAGAATCCAGTGAAATGCAAGAAATATTAAAAGTTCTCACATTGTACGTCACAGCATTGTTTATGTTTCAGCAGTGGGAACAAAGATGACTGTTCTGTAACAAAACACAGTCAACTGTATGGCATAAATTCTAATTAAATAATTCAGAAATTACTTTCAGCTAAGCTGCTGGTAGGCTGAGAGAAAGCCTTCCCACTGGTGAAGCAATACTAAAGAAATGAAAGTGCAACTGGATACGCAGAAATAATAAAGTTAGTGCATTTTTTAAATCTCTAAGAAGTTGCTTTAAGTATTTTCTTACACATCTTGACATTAGAAACACAACATTAAACCTTGGATCATGGAACTAAGGAATATAAAACCTAAAGACCTACACACAACCTATCAGTCTTTGTTCCAGCCACCAGTCCAGATAATAGGAGGGAAAGTTTCAAGGTCAGTGATTCAATGACACTTGTATGAAGTTGCTCAAAGGCTTAGTAATAACGGTATTTTAGTAGATGCACTACTGAGAAATATGCAAGTGGTAGTATAATTACAGGATACATATCATGACCATTTGGGATTTTAACATGAGACTGCTAGCACTGCACCTTACTATATTTGTATACTTCAGTTTTGGGAAAAACAAACCATTTTCTTTTACACTTCAAAAAAATTTAATCATTTTGATTAGAAAATGTAATGCTGGGTATTTGACCTAGGCTGAACTGTTTGGGTAAATTTCAGCCAGAATTATCCAGCCATTTCTGCATGTGAAGCTAAAGTAGGGGGAAATAAAAAATGGAGACAGAGCTTTTGGTCCTTTTAAGTACCTGCAATTTCTTCTCTGCAATACTACAGGCATTTCCCTATTCTGAGGAAAGAGCCTGAAATTTGGAAGAAAGGTGACATTTCCTCTGGAGACCAGACATCACCCACCTTCTTTCTACTCTTGACCAGTTTTGCCACAAATGATAAAACCATGGCAAATACCAGCTTGAAGATGCTCCGTGGAGATTTCTTTGATTCTGGCAGCAATAATCTCTGCAGATTCTACATTCAGATGGTGAAACAGACTGCACAGCCGCTATTCGCACAGTTTCTAGGTGTGATTGGGCTGTTCCTGTGCCATCCCCACTGAATGACAGAGTGTGCTGCGTCCCCTCACAGCTCCCAGTGCTGAATAATGTCTTTTTCCTATGTTAACAGTTCGGTTTGATGGTGCCACAAGGTGGTTTGTACCACATGGCTGCAGATTCTCTCTCAGACAAAACATTCAAAGATAATAACTGCACAACAGAAAACCCTGGTATGTTTCTTAGGACACCAGGAGTTTGCAAATAAACTCAGGAACGCAGCCAACAGACTCTCATTCTCCTGCACTCTACCACTTGAGCACAACTTTTAGCTCATTAAACAGCAGAGATTGAAATGTTTTGCATCTCTATCCAGTCCTAGTCAAACTAGGAAACAGATTTAACCTAGTTAAATTTGGAAACAAGGTTTATTCAGTATTGTTATTAAGTAATTTCACTTTTTATGACTATTTCTAACTTGTAAGTAAAATACATGCAAATACATGCATGTGTGCCATCTTGTGTTTCAAAGAAGGTAAATTACCAGTAGGATTAGCTTTTTCTCGTTTAGAAAAGATTCAGAACAGAAAGAAATGTTGTCTCAAAGGCCTATTGTACATTTATTAAGATATGACCACTTAGATCACATTAGAACTTTGCCTAATGGCCCCCAGTGAAATAACAACACAAAGTTATTTGACTTTACAACCATATATACATTGAAAGAAAAAACATAAAATGTCTTCTTACCTATAGTTTTGTTTTTAGATAGTGCTGGAGGAGAGTTTGCGTCCTCAGATTCTTCCGATGAGTGAGCCAAAAAGTCATGAAGTTTCTGCACCAATGTATTCAACTTGCTTTCACTGTTAAAATACAAGTAAAACTTGAAGTTACCTATCTAACTCAGTCTAATTTAGCAAACGTTAAAGAAATTACATTTAATCTCAATACACACCTACAAAAGAAATTCAGTTATCGCTGAAACATTTGTTTCTGCAAATATATAAAGAGAATATAT